AACGTTTTCACACTCAGACCTGTATTTATAGGTCTGTACTATGAATATAAGTACAGTATGCAGTATCACTGTACTGCAGCAAATAACAACACAGCATCGGACTTTAACTATAGCAACTACTATATTTAACTATATTAGCTACCAGTGTGTATACACAATGACAGTATACATTGATAAATGATTAACTGATACATTCATTTATCAGTCACCCATCCAACATTTATGATCGATTTATTGTGATTAATCAATTAAACCCAAACCTGTTGTTTTTGACTCTAAGAGGAAACTGGACACAAGAAATCCCACATGGAAGAAACATTCAGACTCCATTCAGAGAAACCATGAATTACCTCCAGCTATCAAAGTGATTTTTGTACTGGATGTCAGGAGCAGATAGCAAATTGCCCAGTCCAGAAGATTAAATGTTATTCAATGTATTTATTAAATATAAGAGACTATGTCTGAAAAAAAAGGCTTTGGACATTCAGATCATCTGCATATACAGTGAATAAAAGTCTATGAAAACATTTTTCAGTGTATTATTTAAACTGCAGTTTCACTCCTTAAAATACGATTGGCCCATAGATCACACTTTTAATAGACATCTGTGTCCATTCTGAAAATAAGTGGTGAACTATGTGTATACTATAACAAATACAATGAAAGGGTTAAATTATACAAATGCACTCGTAGTTGCTGGAAGAACAGAGTGACATTCATTGAACTAATGGTGACAATGCTTTAACCAGACTCCTAAAACATTAGACCACTGAGTCAACATTAACATGGACTTTCTTTACTATAGACTTTTTGTAAAGACAACCAGACTCTAAGCTAAGCTCTGGTGGGCCACATAAACTGATAAGGTGAGTCTCATTTGGCCCGCAGGGCTTACAACTCGCTGTAATGGACAAACAGTTTTTGTTGTCAAGTAAAAAAAATGATATCTCTCATAACAAACTGGGGATGAAAAAATTCTGGATTAACTGATAAGGGGCTGCAAGGTGTAATTTATTAGAAAAGAAATGCAGTAAATATTTGTAACAGCACATGTCATATACACTATCGCCTCCTGCTGGTTTTCTTCATCCTTGTTATAGTCTATACAATGGATCTTCATTTACTATTGTTACATTTCTTTACGTTTCTTCAGCCTTTGTTGGAGTATGAATAAAAAACAAGTTTTGTTCAACCCTAGAGCAGATTGTGACATATTGTAGTCTCTCAAACACGCACACACACACACACACACACACACACACTGTGCTTCATGATGCAACCAGATCTAAGCACAGAAAGCTGAACCTGATCATTCAAATGTCCTGGGAATCTAATGATGTGCCAAGAAGGCTCAAGTTCACAAGCAACAACAAAAAAAAAATTCAAGGACGCAGGCCACCTGCTGCTGCTCGAACAAAACAGCAGCCAAACACGGCAGGTTACTGAGGCTGCTCCTCAGAAGCACTGATCAGCAGCCAGTGCAACATAAGCATTGATCCAGACAAAGCCAGTCCCTCTAACCATCAATTATTAATGGTAAATGACAATAATCACAAGGTTTTTAGGGTCGACTGGTTGGTCGGCCGTCCTTTCAGAGGCAGCCAGCTGTGCTGCAGGTGAAACGACTTTCCTTTTTTTTTTTTCTTGTTTTTGTTTCACTGTTTAGTTTACTTCAAAACAAAACAAAGGGGCTCAGTACCTGTGGCCTGCATCAGATGGCGCTGCTATCGAAACAATGCTAAATGTAGCACTCAACGTAGACTTACAAAACAACTTAGACTATGAAGCTAACACCTACATGTATGTTTAGATGTAAACAACTGACAGTTGTATTGTAGTCACACAACAAATATCACATTTACAGTGACTGGAACGATAGCTAATGAATTCAGCAGTCCTACAACAGATGGTTGGAATATTTCCGGATGACATTTTTTGATAACAGACCTAAACTATTAGCAGTAATTGTACACAATGTTTGCTAGCTGAGTTAGCTTCATCGGGTGTCAGAGAAGACTTAAACTGTTGAAAAAAAATAAAGAAATGGTTGACTTGGAGTGCAAACTGTTATGATGATGCATTATGTTTTTTCCCCCCAATGTGAACAATAATTCTATCAACCTGAAAATACGACTTCAATGAGATATGACTTCACTTCATGAACAACAGTTAAACTGGTCGACTTCAGCATACATGGCTTTATCTCTGCATTCACGGAAACCCTGTGTAAAAACAGAAACGTTATCCTGTCGGACAAACTGATGACAGACGAGATCGTAGCCTGTTGCGTGTCACACGTGTATGTTTGTTCCTGGCATACTGTCAGTTTTACATAGTAAACACGAGTGAATGGGGGGAGGAAGTTGCACCTGCCCCTTTGTTCTCTCCCCTGATGGGGAGCTTTGTGTTTGTCCCAAAGCATGGTGGAGTACAGTGACACATTTCACTCCGTACACCACAAAGCTAGTGAAATGAGACATTAAGCAGCAGGCTTAGCTATCAAGGAGCATTTTAACAGAACAATCCTGCCTACACACACACACACACACACACACAGAGAGAGAGAGAGAGAGATACATCTGAAAGAAAAGAAATAAATTGGGCGTTCTGCCAAGCCCATTACCATTTTTAAAAGCCTTTGCTGATTTAAAGGACCCAAGTACTGAAAGCTGCGTCATTTAAAGTGAATTGAATACAGTGTAATGGACAGAGAAGACGTTTTGTTCAAGTTCAAACAACATCTTCTCAGCTGCTTTATCCAATTTCTGAGAGCTTGGAGCTGCAGAATGAAAGAAACAAAAAAACATCTGAAAGAACATCTGCAGCCTTGCAGGTCAGTCATGCCCTGTTTGGGAAGGTTGGAAAATTAAGATCCAAGGATAAACATCAGATCCCTGCAGAGAACAGCTACTCATGTTTGAGTCCTCCAACCTGTACAAGTAAACAACCGCGAAGAACACTTTCATAGCATTTCACTTCAGAGCAGCAGATTTCTACACCTGTGGCTTTCCTGGGCAGCAACAGCCAATGAACAAATAATACAAATGCTGAAAGTTGAACGTTTATTTTTCAAATACAATCTGCTTTTAATATTAATAAAAATGACAGGAAATCACACTTCTTTGTGTTCGGGTCTGCAGGGTCCAACCTGCATTTCCTTTTCATTGCGATCACCATCTTCTAGCTTAAGATAGAGCAGCATCTCCACGGGCAGCAGCGAGAGTAAACAGCTGCGCCTTTGTGTTATGAGTGGTTACAGGTAATCAACAATGCATCCACTTACCTAAGACTCTTCACAGAGGAGATTGTTTTTCAGCTGCACTCAGTGATTGAAAGCATTAGTGATGGATGGCAAACTGCTTAGATGCTTCACAGACGTTGACTGTGACCACCACCGCCGGGCCATGAGTGGAAAACATATACAGCAGTTTATTATTTGCTAATCTCTCACCTTTGTGTAATGTGTTTTTGAAATTGCACTCAGCCAGGAGTGTGTTGGTGGTGTTAGTTCTAACAGGAGTACCGTGGTTAGTCCAAAAATGACAACAACAAAAAATTTGAAAATGAAGCACAGAAAATAATAAGAAATGTTTTCACAGTGAGCGTACTATATGATGACTGCTGCGAAGAAAACTAAAAGGTGTCATTCTGGAGATAGAATACCAAACGTGGCCGAGGATGGAGGCAGTGTGTGGAGAAACGACCGAAGACACACCTGAAAAATATTTTGGGTTTTTCCCCTTTTCCTCCACCTCACACAGTCACACCTGTTTTCCAAAGCAAATGTTATCAGACCAGTAACCAGCCAACCAAATCAACCAGCTCAGCTCAGATGCTTCCTTCTCCAGAACAACCGCTTTCTTAGTGAATCACACACAGAGGGGCTCACATCAAATTACCTCTGCTGCAGCTTTAGGGGCATCAACTCCACCAAAATATTTTTGGGTTTGTTCTGAGAAAAATAATAATAATAAAATTCAATGAAGAAAATGAAATCCAAAAGCTTATCCACTGTATCACGTTTATCTGGTGAAGTAATCCAGTTGAAATCTGTTGAGAGTGGAACTGATGGAACTGTGGTTCTGTACTGAAACAGGTCGAGAACCCAAATTGGTTATGAATGTTGATTTTAATGCTTTGTTTTTCCTGGTTCTGTTCTTGGTTTCTGGCTTTAAACACCTTTTTGAACCTGTTTTTATCTTCATAAAATAAATGTCATTATTTAAAACAAAAGAAAACAGCAGACGCAGTTAAGGCGACGCTGCAGATCATCAGCTCTGCATTAGTTTGTTTTTTAAGCATGCAGATGGTGCGGTGGGAAGATAATGGAATAAATTAGTTGCTTGCACACATGTCCTGATGCATCACGGAATAAAAGGTGTCAAACTCTCTCCCAGCATTCATCTGGAAGTGATAAATACATTTGGTTGATTTGCCGGTGCACTAGACAGCATCCGGGCTACGACAACGTATGTTATTTTATGTAGATTGTACACAAATTTAAATGGTGATTATTGTAGAGCAGTCATTCTTAACCATGGGGTCACGGCCCAAACTTGGGCTGCCCGTGCCACCTACAGGGCCGCAAAAACCTTCAGTTTTGCACCTGTGGGCTGCAAGGGCCGCGGGACTGCAAATGTTATCAACTAAAGACACCAGGGATATGCTATCAATGAAAAGCTCAGTTACAATGCAGCTTTCAACCATTAGGTGGCAGTAATGCATCAGTCAGTTCTTTAAAAAGTGGAAAAGTCTTTCTGTCCATGCTAGCTGTGGCAAAAAATATGGAGAAGACTACATTTTTGTGTAGATACAACCCGACTTCACCACTTTGTACTATAAAAATTGGGCCTCAACGTTGAAAAAGTTAAGAGCCCTCATTATATATATACATATTTTAATTTTCACTCAAGTTTCCTCTGTCTATGATTTCACTATAACATCTCAACACAACACGAAGGCCTGCGAAAATGTGTGGATAACGATCAAAATGTTTTTGTGTCAGAGCAGAACGTAAAGCTCGTCCATCACGGACTTTAAGTAAACCATCCTTTGAAGCAGTCACTTTGTCTTTCATGTGCACTGCGTACTGCATGCAGAGTACTAATTAGTGTCTAATAGAAACTGCAGGCAACAGGCATGTGTGAAAGAACTAATTTGATTGTAGGCAGGCCAATTATGACCTAATTACCCAGCTTTCCTTGCCTGGATTAAAGCTCAGTGGGTGAACACTCACATGCATAACAAGGCCTCAGTAAAGGTAAGTGTTTATTAACACAAATGAGCCGACGGCTATTTCATACAAATGTATGTTTATAGATTGTCAGTCCTTACAGTGTGCATGAACCGGCTGAACCAGTTTGCACAGAGACCAATACATTCTGCTCCAGTACCTTTGACATCCCTGCCCCACCTCACACCTGTGCCAACTGACATTGACTGTACGACAAGGCCGTCAGTACAACAGAAAAATACACATTACCATACACACAACTATTCACTGATATTTATGTTGGATTTGGATATAACTTTCTTCTTAGAGTGTAATACCACCTTAAAGTCTTTGGTTAATTCATTTATTCAATATTTCTTTAGCACAAACTAGGACTTCTTATGTTTGTTTTCACTGACAAAACCCTAATTCTATCTTTTTGATATAAATAAACCAAAACCTTCATTTATGCTGTTATGTTGGGAAAAAACCAATATGATGCTAAAAGGCTCGTTGAGGTTATCTTCAGGAAGTTTCGTTTAAGGTTTGGTGATCAAGGTTGGATATAAAGAAGAATCACCAGGAGGGTTAGTCTCTCCAAACAGTGACAGGTCTTGGTTCGATACCTCATGTTGAACTTCATGCTACCCTAAAGATCAGAGGTCATCGTTGGACAAGTCTAAGGCAGTGTTTTTTTAACCCTAGGGTTGCAACTCCACGTGAGGTCACCGGGAATTCAAATGAGGTCGCCTCAAATGTCTAGTAATTGATAAAAGAAAGACTGATAAAAATATTTCTTTATATATCTAATTATTAATAATAGGTCATTATTGTTATGATTATTATTATGATTATTGTTATTAAATGTAAGATTAGAAACCCCACACACAATCTTAAACTGTATTGTCTCACTTTCAAATATATAATATACCATACAAAAATGTCTGAGCTGGCAAATCTTGATCGACCACTGCATTCAATCACATGATTGCACAAGTGACAGGTGACAATTCACAAAACACATCAAACCTCACTGGACAGTTTTAATTTAAACATAATTTTGCTTAAAAAATGTTAAATGTGTTGAATGAAAAATGTTGAAGATATTTACATGAAATATTCCATTTTGTTAAAGGTGAATATGGATTATGGAATAGTCAGTATTTAAAGTCAATATTCTATCAAAATTAAATGAAGATATTTACATGAAATATTCCATTTTGTCACACTGTAGACACAAGTACGTGTACTTTTATAGTACAGCTGTACTGCTACCATAAAACATCAGGATCTGACCCATTGCTATCATTACTGTTTAAACAACAGATTGAACCGTTTTTAATTTTCACAGCTGTTGGAAAGTTGTGTTTATTGTTTACTCCAGAAATGACGTTCTTCCAGATGTATGCACAGCAACCGCTCGCACCATCTGGAAATTGTCATTCAGTACATATTTCTCTTTTTCCCCTATTTTTTTCTTAAGAACTCTGCAGCTCTGGCCCGGGCCATCAGCGCTGGACAGCCTGCAGTGGTCCGTTCCAGAGCCTGCTCCGGTTGTTTTGTGTTACGCTGGGTTCGGAATCAGACATGACAGCCGGGATAAGAGGGAGGCAGATGGTTCCTAACATGGCATCAGTTACTAGTCTGACAGAGAAACCTTTTATCCTGTTGTTTGCCCTCTGCTCGTTGACGGCTGAGATCACATCATTAGAATCTCATTATTCAGAGGAGCCATTACTCAGTGCAATTGTCAGACGGGCAGATTCTTTTCCTGGTTTCCTTGTGGTAAACTTGTTAACACGGCGTATCATTAGAATGCCATATTTGTTTTCACCCTTTGTCAAGCAAGTCATCATTTCTGTTTATTGACCCTCACATGTAAAATCCAGATGTTTCTATTTTGTCCAACAAGGACTCAAGTGAAGAAGACAAAAACACACATGTTTGGTTTAATATATGAGCTGTCAATCATGTTCTCAAAGCAAAGGATTTGTGTTTCAAAGAGAGAACCAGGATAAACACCGACTCTAAAATATTTGGTCTACACAAGGGTAAAAAAAAGGGTTTGTTTTTAAAGGCAGAAAAAACAAAACAGTGAGAAAACCTGTTCATCACTCTGAATGATTTACTGCCTTTTCACGCAGCTGCCTAAACGCTGCTGAAAATACCCAGAGAACGCAGCTGCAGCCACAGGCTTAGGCTCAATCCACTGTGTGTTCACTTTAAACAAGGCCGAAAAAAACACATGTCAATTTAAGAGTATCATTGAAAGGGGAAATAACATCCACACGGCTCCATTGCCCTCTGTAGAAACTTACAATGTCACAAGCCAAGCAGGAAAATAAATCCTCAGGTGGACGGTGTTTACAAGCACTGGGCCAGTGGGGAAGAGTACGAGTGAGTGGACAGCAGTGGATGAATACACATATATATATATACATATATATATATATATATATATAAAACATACACACTTAGAGAAGAAAAAAAAAAAAAAAAAATTTTTTTTTTTTTTTTTATTTTTTTTTTTTTTTTTCTTCTCTAAGTGTGTATGTTTTATATATATATATATATATAAAACATACACACTTAGAGAAGAAAAAAAAAAAAAAAAAATAAAAAAAAAAAAAAAAATTTTTTTTTTTTTTTTTGTTTTTTTTTTTTTTTTTACTTCTCTAAGTTTGTAGGTTTTATATATATATATATATAAAACCTACAAACTTAGAGAAGTAAAAAAAAAAAAAAAAATTTTTTTTTTTTTTTTTATTTTTTTTTTTTTTTTTTCTTCTCTAAGTGTGTATGTTTTATATATATATATATATATATAAAACATACACACTTAGAGAAGAAAAAAAAAAAAAAAAATTTTTTTTTTTTTTTTTTGTTTTTTTTTTTTTTTTTTGTTTTTTTTTTTTTTTTTCTTCTCTAAGTGTGTATGTTTTATATATATATATATATAAAACATACACACTTAGAGAAGAAAAAAAAAAAAAAAAACAAAAAAAAAAAAAAAAAAATAAAAAAAAAAAAAAAAAAAAATAAAAAAAAAAAAAAAAAATTTTTTTTTTTTTTTTTTGTTTTTTTTTTTTTTTTTTGTTTTTTTTTTTTTTTTTATTTTTTTTTTTTTTTTTTATTTTTTTTTTTTTTTTTGTTTTTTTTTTTTTTTTTTATTTTTTTTTTTTTTTTTTTATTTTTTTTTTTTTTTTTCTTCTCTAAGTGTGTATGTTTTATATATATATATATATATATATAAAACATACACACTTAGAGAAGAAAAAAAAAAAAAAAAATAAAAAAAAAAAAAAAAACAAAAAAAAAAAAAAAAACAAAAAAAAAAAAAAAAAATAAAAAAAAAAAAAAAAATAAAAAAAAAAAAAAAAACAAAAAAAAAAAAAAAAAAAACAAAAAAAAAAAAAAAAATAAAAAAAAAAAAAAAAATAAAAAAAAAAAAAAAAACAAAAAAAAAAAAAAAAAATAAAAAAAAAAAAAAAAACAAAAAAAAAAAAAAAAACAAAAAAAAAAAAAAAAACAAAAAAAAAAAAAAAAATAAAAAAAAAAAAAAAAATAAAAAAAAAAAAAAAAAAAAAAATTTTTTTTTTTTTTTTTCTTCTCTAAGTGTGTATGTTTTATATATATATATATATAAAACCTACAAACTTAGAGAAGTAAAAAAAAAAAAAAAAAATTTTTTTTTTTTTTTTTGTTTTTTTTTTTTTTTTTCTTCTCTAAGTGTGTATGTTTTATATATATATATATATATATATAAAACCTACAAACTTAGAGAAGTAAAAAAAAAAAGAATAAATAAATCATAAAAACATAAAAAATAATTATATATTTTGGTGTTGTTGTTTGAGAACCACTGCATTAGAGAATTAGCTAGGCTAGATAATTTCAAAAACTTCCTCCACTCAAAAGTCGAAGATGGCAATGCAGCTCAGCATTTATTATAGTTAGTCCAATATTCCCTGTTCTACTAAGTCCTGGGTCCAAGTCAGGACTCAACATACAGTAGCTTGAATGATCACATCGTTTCAAATGCAACTCTAAATGTGGTTAACATTTACATAAGTTCTTGTTAAGTCACCGTTAATTACAGACCACCATGCAACGGTCTTGCACAGAACGTGCAGCTGAGGTTTGTTGAAGAAGCCTGCTGAGTTCAGTAAAGAATGGTGCGAGCAGAGATGGATAGTAGTGTCTTTGTTACACAAGAGGTATAGAGATAAGAAAATGGTTGTGGGTAATTATACTCATGCTGAGTTAGTTTCCAGAGCAGCTGCCGCCTCATGAATAAACTGGAACAACAGTGAACACACACTTTACCCACTACCACCTCTTCAGGGTATTGTTGTGTTGTAACTGTATACTGAGTGTATTGTTTCATACTCACAAAGCCACTATGTCTATGTCAGTGTATAGGTTCCATTTTTGAACTCCCGTGTACTTTAGCCTCACGTTGGCACGGCAAGTTCTACTACAGCAGGTGGTCAAAGGGAATCTGTTCAGCATCTGTGCTCACACAGTCTCACCAATCAGATCAGAGTACAGTTTTCTTCATCAGATCTTGGTCTGAGTTAGCCTTCAGCTACTTCTGGAAACATGCTCTGATCAACTGACTCAATGATCAGACCACTGTTTAGCTCTGTTTAGCCCAGGGAAACCAAACTGGCGCTCGTAGCAAAACCTGATATGGAAATTCTTCCAGACCTTCTCAGAACCTTAGTGTCATTTTCATTTCCCAAAACTGGAATAACAGAAACTGAAAGGGGCTTAATGTAACCCCTCAGAGGAGAAAAAAAGAGCTTAAGGCAAACTCCCCAGAATTCAATACATAACAAATTCTGTAGTGGAAAAAAGTGTTTACATTAAGTATTGAAATTCATTTGGAGAAATGACAGGAGGTTAACACAAAGTAAATTCATTGTTTTTTCTTCTTCTAACTAACAAGATTCTTTAGAACTGGTTTAACTGGTTTTAGAGTCAGGAGTCAAATGTTCATTGCTGCTTCTAGAACAATCCACACGGCAGTATCTTAAATGAAGCAG